CATGCCGCCAACCAGTATTCCTGGTATCTCCTATTCGCTGTCCTGGAGAAGAATGACAGGCCTGTAGTTTTACAGACCTGATTTAGAACAATGGTGGTATGTAAAAAATGTTTAATGGACTTAAACATTTGAAAACAAAAGTGCTTTGCGCATCTGTTGAACTCAAAGCTCCACTACTATTTAAATTGCAAAGTGAAATACACTCAATTTACTATTAAAACAGTGAGAAGCAATCATTGGTCTTGCTGTTATCTTAAATTATGCTACTTTAGTTCATTACATGTCTCACCCATCAAAATTGTTATGGTAAGAAACTTTTATTTAAACCACACGACCACAGCACCCGATTTTGATTTTTCTGATTCAATATACGCAAAGGAAAATGTATTTGAACATACAGTACTGTGCATAGCCCATACCAAATTTAATAGTCTGTTAAAGGTTTTTGTATACATACATCACTCAATGAATCCCCTACCAAGATCACATTTAGGATTAAAATATCCTGAAATTCTTTGGAATCCATCCCTCATTACTATTAAGTGAACCATGAGCACAGGATGCAAAACAGCCCCACCTCCCCCTACTTCTCAGAAACAAATACATTTATTTTTCAATATGAGCTTTACCTTTCTGTGCTAGCCATCTCACTAGTGAGACTTCCCAGAAACTCTCATTTGGTCCCTTTTGACTTGGGAGTCAAGTAGCTGCTATTTGACAAATTCATATCTTGGACACCACTGTTGAAACTAGGATATATTAGTTGTTGAAGTCGATAATCTTTTACCCTAGATCTCTACACAAACCCCTTATTTTCCCATAATGATGATGCGAAACTAAATGTTTTGCTTGTGTGTTCTTCCTCCATAAATAGACAGTGACCATGAAATTGATTTCATTGATTCAGTCTCCAAGTTCAGAGCTTGGTGAAAACACTTTTGACAATGATTACTGTTCTCGGTCTTTCTGGACTGGACTTTCCTCTTTCTGGAGGAAATGCAATGGAGACCAAAAATGGTCCCAAGTAGAAAGCACAACCTTTTAAAGCATAAGGTTGCAAATGAAAGGAAGCCGTTTAGCCAATTGTACACATTTGGTTTCATCCGTCTTAGGTCACATAGAATTGGCTGGAATAAGAACAACCCTCTTAAGTCTGAGAAGTATACAGTAAATATTTCCGTACCGTTTGTTGCTGTGAATGTGCCTTTTAAAAAAATGAATTGCATTCTGGAGCTTATTTAGTCTTATTAAAGGGGGCTCCAGGAGAGGTCCCTTGTGAAGTTAATTCTGAACGTGTGATCTCATGAAAGCAGGCCAAATCTTTCACTGTGCACTGAGGCTTTCATCAGGCAGCACAGTAAGAAAGGAGCCCGTGAACACCATTTTTAATATTTATTTTAGGAAATACAATTAGAAAACAGGCATGAGATCTTAAATATTTAATATAAAATGAGAAACATCAACAGCACACTAGCTGTGCTTACTAGCAATTTGGTAATCTACTATATTAATTGTTTATGAAAATATTATTTGCCAGAATAATTGGCAGTGTTATACACAGGGGGGAAAAAAAAAACTGAAATAAAAGGTGCCCCTGTTTAAAGAGGCTCAGTGTTATTTCTCAATATTTCATGCTGAGTTGCACAATTTTCTTCCTGAAGTTCTTAACTGTGTCACGGTTATGGCTGTGAATGACATATGAAAACTATGTGTAACTGGATTAGTGACCCACTGGTTGTTTCTGAGTGCACAGGAGAACATACCTTAGCGAAGAAGAGTTTAAGATCAATCTAGTGGGAAGTATTCCAGTCCACTTTGAAGTTTTGTTTATAGTTCTAACTTGAACAATAAATGGTCCCGCTCCTGGTTTAATTTAAATGTTTTTGATGTTTAACAAAATGATGCTAGCATGTCAGACCAGCTATCCTTTAAAGGCCAAAACCACAAATGATATATAGTGATATATAACAATGATCTTCTTTTTAAAAAGAGCCTATAATTTCTGCTTTATTGTGTAAATCCTATTTGTTATAATTGGTAAGAGTGAAAATGATTACAGCAATTAACTGCTAATGGTTAAGGTCAAAAAGTCACAGACGTTGGGGATATAGAGCTAACCAACACACCATTATTGGTGGCAACATTTTCCATGACATTTTTAAAAACTAATAACTTGAAGAAAAAATGAGAAAATGTGTAAGAACTTATTGAGTCAGAAACACTTTACTGCATTCAATATTGGGCAAACACTCAGAACAGGAATATTTCAAAGTACATTCTGAGAATCTGATATATAAAAACACACTTCATGCTAAATTGGGAAGTGTTTCATGGTATATGAGGTTTTGTTTAGTGGAACTCGTGGCAGATTAAGAAAAAAAAACAACTAATGAAGAAAAAGGCTTCAGGGCACATCATTTTAAAAATACTGTAGGTGGAAAAGAAAGCTGTACAATTCCATACTGAAGGACATTTCTTATAATTCAAAAACATGTGGTGCAGGCAGGGATTAAATTAGTTTCCCTGTTATACTCTGTCGAAACAGATGTGTGAATAGTCAGTGAATCGCATCTGACATTTAAAAAATTGTAACACTTCGTAGGATGACTTGAATGGACATATTGTATTGAGTGTGGTTTGAAAATTTTAACGATCATGCCCACTATATATGGTATGAACATACATAACCACAGGAATTAGATCATCATTAAAGCTCACTTATACACAAAATATTTTTTCAGAGGTAGCTTACCTTGATCATTGAGCCACGATCCAGCAGGTCTTATGACTTGCCAATAACACATCAGTTTACAGACAACAATTCAGTTTTGACACTAAAGTATGTTTTATTCAACTAAAAAAAGCTTCTTCCTGACTGCTGTTAGGATGCTCAACAAGTAATGTGCCCCAACCATCAAAATTTAGTATTGTGCTTTATCACCTGTATCACATTTAAATTGCACTGATTCGTCTGTTTATATTGCAGGGCATTAACTCGGCATGTATTGAGTGTTTTTTTATATATTGTGTATTCAGGTCCTGTATTTATATTCTGTATGTTATTGTCACAGTTATATGTCTATAGCAAAGCTGTACCAACAACAATTTCCACCAGTCTCAGTCACTTGGGAATATTCTAAGTAGTTTATGGATCATTTGAAATGCAAATATCAACATCTCTGACACTCAGGGACAACAGTTGTATATTCCTTGCTTAACTGAACCATTTAAACTAAGTTGTTAGAATGTGATCCAAGTGTCAAGAATTCTATAAATTAAAGGTTAGATTTTGATTATCCACAATTTAGAATTGGTTACCTCTGTTTCTTTAGTCTTGTACAAATTTACAAACAAAACATCATAAAACTTACCTGCAAATAATTTACAGCGTATCTTCAAGTTCTTGAACAGGTGTCTGACGTGTTTAGAATATGATGTTTTTTTAAAACGGGTTTAATCCCCGACACATAGTATAAGCATGTCGGACTACAACACACCAGTACTTATGCCAACCAATTATTTATTCCATGCTTGGACGATAATTACTGTATGTGGCTCAGTGGTTGGTTTCTTATTATTTTATATTAACTATATGCATGTCATTTGAAAGTCGACAATTTAAAAATATCTAACCTATTTTGACAAACTGTCAGCATTGTGACGAAAACTCCTAAAAAGACGTGTCACCTTCCAGCAAAAACATGTTTAATAAAGAATATCAAGCGTAATAACCACCATTTGACATTGAACAATAGTGACAATGGGGACCATTTCCACAGATGTTCAGAGATCTTTTTGGAGACATGGGACCACTCAGCTGGCAGCTGTTGACACAACTCTGTATGAGACCCAGGGAGAGGTGAAATTATACAACCTTGAGGCTGTCTGAATTGGCATTATTACAGAACCCTGCTAAAATGACTATATGGTCCTCAGGATTCATAACGTTTTTGACTAACTGGGCCATTTCCACTATTGAAACACTTCTGTGGGACAAGTCATTAGGCTGCACAGTGTACATCATTGTGTTTTGGAGGTACCATGCAGAACTGGTATCATTTATGAGGTATGTGGTATGAGAAACATACTGGTAGATAAATATCAACAATTTCAGTTACTTAATAGCATAAATGATGACAGATTACCACAGAACATCTTTCACTGCACAATTTGCAGTTGCATGTCTTGTAGCCACGTTGTATAAGGGTTTCACATTCTCTATATAAGTTTGCTCAACAAATCATGTCATGAAAGATGGCGGGTTCAGAAAGAACTGCATTCTAAAAGGAGATGGAATGGGGCTGGAACTGAAATGTGTGATCTTGACAGTAAGTACCATTCATTTTTTGCCCAATTCAGATGGAAGAAAAATATTATCATTATGGTCTCTATGTATCATTGAAAGAAAATTCTGCATTTTCCTCTGGAGATCTATCAAACTAATCCCTTATGGATTTTTGGAAAAATTCCTGCATTGCAGTTAAAATAGTCTGAAAAACATCAGTTAACGCGGAAAATTTAACAAGTGTCATTTTGCTGCAATATGGAAATTGTGGACATGGTTGAAAGCCATTTAGTCAAGTGTGGAGTTTATTATGCATGTTTGTGTGAATTTAAGATTTTACACTTAAGCTTTTATCTGCTAATGGTGCATAGGGGAGCAATTCACAATCTTAATGCACTGTTAGATACAAAAGGGATAAAAGTCATTCACTGGAACCCAGTTAAATATTGAAGATTTTCTGGTCGCCATAGTCTGTTCCTTTTGAAATACGTTTTGCACTTCCAATTACTGCCATTTCCAACATTTTGTATGTACTGAAGCAGACTGGAAAGGCCCTACCCTTAAAAAAACTGCAGTGTAATAATGGATTAAAACAATCAGTTCTGCCTCTTGAATCCTGCTGCCCGATTATTCTTCACGTGATTTATAAAGCTGCTAAAAGCTTTGTTTAAAAAAAGAAGCATACCCGAGCCAATTTAAATAACATACCAACTGATTGACTGGTGAAAATGACGTTTATTCATATCCAATTACAAACAGGTGAATGCATGTAAGCACTTTCATTTTCAGTTTCACATAAGAATCTGGTCACGAGGCCATTGCTTTCTCTTCTCTTCTCGTCGCCTGTTCACGTCTCGCTTGCCCAGAGCGCGCTCTCACTGCACTTTAACTGCTGTTATCTTGGAGAGCTTCTGCCATGAAGAGCTTACCCAGGTTCTGGGAGGTGAACTCCTTGATGTTCTGGCAGTAAGTGTTGATCTGACCTGTTCAATAAAAAACACAGGGGGGAGAGGGGAGAAGTGGGGAGGGTGTCAAACCATGTCCATTCCACATAATAAAAAAATAACACTGCCATTACCCAGAACAAGTAAACCCACCATACCCATACATTTTGCTTGACAAGGCAGTGGGCAATTCTCATTTGTACCAAAGACCTACAGAAAAGATCTTAAACGGGAGAGCAAGAAGATATTCATTGTCATGGCTTTGCTTACCAAAGCCCTTATGATTCTGATGTCCCATAGCTAAACTTTTGTGGATTTGTGTTTGTTCCAAATACTTACCAACCCTGAATGTTGAACGTTCAGTTGGTTACTCTAACTTCTATTGAAAATAAGTCACTAATAATTCATGTACCTTTTGTGCACATCTCAAACTACTACAACTTGATCTTTATATTTCTATACACATACTATACTGACATTTAAGTATTCTTTGAGAATTTATATTTTGAAGTGTTATTAAGGGCCAAATTTAATCTTTATGACTTACAAAACCTTTCCGTATTAAATCCTGAAGGCTACCATGATAGAAAACAGACCTATTAACACGGAATGAGATCACAATTTTATCATTTAAAGAAAACATACACTCCAGTGCCTTTCCTGTTAAACCATCCCAGATTATTTTACTATAAATGCTCCTGCATACTCATTTGATCACAAAATTCTTGTGATCAAAAGAAAATTCGACTCTGCTCTTAGGCTATGGGATGCTAGTAGAATTAAAAAAAAAATGTACAGTTTATATGTTCTGACATTAACCTCATTTTTAGAGCTGCTGGCAAGCTCTATACATCATCTAAACACCTTGTCCTCGACTATTGTAAGGAATTGTTTGGTGCAGCCTACAGATAAGGCAAGAACATTTAGGAACACCGTGAACAAGCTCTTTCTTGAAAGCAACAAGATCTAAGACTACAAAGGGCTAAAGTCTGGATTCTCAACTTTTCAGACATACAGTACAGTGATAAGAGGTCTATGGTGATGTGTATCTATCACCAGTACTAAGTGCTTAAAAAAGAACAATAAAACATTTCTCAACTCAAAATCACAAAGCTCCTCAGGTGACAAGCATGCTGCGAGTATATCTAAATTGAAGCTAGTTAAAAATCCCAGCTCGGAGTCTTGATTGTCAAATTTCTAGCACTGCACAGTGAAAATGTTCTTCAGGAGACGAGGCCTTTTCCCTCTGCAGAATAAGATGCACTCTTAATAAAACAGAACTCCATCAATGATTTGTAGCAAATGATTTCACCTCTAATTGAAATTACAGTCTTCAATTTTGTGCTGCTGTAAAAAGGGTTAAAAATCTCAATTTCAGGAATGCAAAAGAGAATTACTCTGGGATGAGGCCAAATGAGGTTCACACAACCCTTTGGCATCCTTGTGCCTTCGACTGCAGATACCTATAAAACATTATGCAGTAAAGAAATGGGAAGTCACTTTGCACTGATGGGATGATTTATCACCTCATGTGTCTAATGTACTTTCATAAAATGTAGTATAATAGCTGCCTGCAGGCTGACAAAAGTCATATTTCTGATACCCCGCAAAAGCTCCTTTTTTTGCAATATGTCAAGAATGAAAAACCATGCTTCAGAATTCAAAAGGAAATTACAGGAATAAAGGACTTACATGGAAACAGTTCCAAGTCTGTAAGGGTTAATTCTGTAACTCTGGATTCATGTAAACATTTGTAAACAAATAAGATTTCACAATATGAAGAATAAAAGCAAAAACACTGCACAAGAAAGCTCCCTCTTTGTATTTATCTTCCTACATTGGACATTTTTGCTGGAAATGAAGAAACTTCCCTTTGTACTGTAAGTGTTCATCATAGGTTCCAATTAACAGCCAGGAACCAAAACTACACACCGAGCAATAAAACACTAGAAACAATAAAATTGCAGCTGATTTTTCCAATTATTAAAAAAGTGATCATCATCTCTTCCTTGATCCCTTCCCTTCTTTTTCTTACATTTTTTACTAATTTTGTATTTTATTTTGGAAGGCTAAGCAAACCATGGAAGCCTCATGGCTTTATAAAACATGCAAAATTCTTTGTTATTGTTCTATTAGTCTCAGATTTGTATTGTTAGACATACTGGATAAGCCCTGGAAAAAAATGTCAGCATCCTACATATGAAGATTGACCTGTAAGAACGAAAAAAGAATGTGTTTGTTGTTGTTTTTTTGTTTTTGTTTTGGATACTTCATTCTACTGTGTGTACTGAGTAAGACCTAAAAAAATCTGATGGTCCAGACTTGATGACCAAGAGGTTACCTTCACTTCAAGACATCACTTCAAGCCCCCAATCAGGCCTGTACTGTCTATACTTCCCAAGACTGTGCAAGATGTTAACTTGTGGAAGTAGTGGAAGAGGTTAACTTTGCATTCGGTCTTACCTGCCCTCAGGATGCAGTTGCTCAGCTTTCTTGTATTTAATTTAAAAAAAATGTGTAAAATAAAAAAATAAAGAATGGCCAACAATGATGACACTGGGGTATAAAACTAATGTGATGTTCAGTATGTTCGGTAATTACATTTCGCAGAATAGATAATGCATTTTGCACTTATTTGGCTAAATATCTTATTTTGTTAATTACAGCATTGGGAAATTATCGCTTAAACTATGTAAAGGAGCAAACTTTTACAAGCCTGGTTGGAAAGCAGATTATCCATTGTGGAGTTAAACGCGAGACACATGCAGGTGAAATAACCTCTCCTTTACTCACTGTTCTCTGTTCCCACAGAACTGCAGGGGCAGATATTTGCACTAAAGCGGCTTCGGGCTGCCTACACAAAGGCTAGTAGCAAAGCATCTTCTGTCAGCTTTAATTATATACTTAGCGAGACAGTGAAAAGATACTTGGGTGCATTAATCAAATCCACATGTAGAATTAAAAAATAAACTGCAAAGAAAAAAACTCAATTTAAACAAAACTCTGTATCCAAGTTAGAAAAATCAGTAGCTGCACATGTTTTTTCTATGTGTTATATTTTTCAGGCAATGGAATAAAAGTTGATCTACCCCTTATTTTTGTTATCTTCCATGGCTGTAGGTTGTATTGCTGTAAGAATACATGCAAATATGTGTATAGCACCAGCACAACAAAATGGGTTAATTAAATTATACTGTTTCCAGTCGGTGGTATAATGACTTAAATTCTTCACTTCCAAACATCTACACCAACCCTTAAATGTTAACGTCTAGAGGAAAAGCATCATTTAAACATGCAGTACAATTTCTATAGCGTTTTAAGTCAAGAGAATATGAAGGCAGTTTCACATATGAGCATAATTGTATTTAACGACAACATCAGTACGATAACAGAAAAAATAAGGTTAAGATTAAATCAAAATCATTAATACACTAGGAGATTACTTGGACAAAACAAACAGATGGAACATAATATTGCTTATTTTTATGAGTTATGTTTTTATTACTATTCAGTCATATTTTATAGTTCTTCATATCCATTATTTGTTCTTTATTTTAAATGTACTTTTAATTTGGATTTTTCATTAAAAACGAAAAAAAAAGTTATGGAGGCAGTAAAAGGTCCATCCTTGAATACCATACTTCCTATTTACCTAGGGAACAGGCAACAGTAATGCATCCCAACATGTCAAACAGAGTTTCAAAATGAGACCACCCAATTAATAGTCAATTTGGTAACAGAAAATCCAAGAAAAGATTCAGTCAGGGCCTAAAGATCTGCAATTAGGAGTTATACAAATATTTTACTGAGAAAGGAGTATATATTTTTCATTTTAAAAAGTTAAGTTTTACAAAAAGGACAGTATTATAGTAGTCAATCCAAGATAATACAAAAGCATGCATTTGTTTTTTGTCAAAGACAGCAGTCACAAATTTAATCTTTTGTCCTTTAGGTCTGCCACTTATGAAGCATCGAGGATATTGCTTTTCCCGTTTACTAGATCTTTATTTTAGTTGAGGAATTAAGACATACCTGAGTTTAAAATGTACAAGATGAAATCTTAGTGAAGAAAAAAAAACCTTAGCATGAATGACAAAATGATCAACAACTCTAAGGTCTACAGCTACCAGGTTTGAACACCAATCCAAGAGAAATCACTTCAACCTATTTTATGACATTTCACACAGTAATTTGGATATTCCATAAGACTAAATCTCTAGCTAAAATAAATTTGATTTTATGTCAACAACCACTTAAAATGAACATCCTATTGACCCTATCCCAATTAACAGATCACTAAATTAGATTAAAAAAAGCAAATCTAATTGCAATGGAATATTTAATCACAATAATAACCAGAGGTAGTCAACCATGACATATGGATTCGATGCCATGGCAGGATTTTGAACCTTGCAATAACTTACGTACTGAATTTACCCTTAATTGCCTAATTAACCCAGGTGCTGCAGATGTCTAGAATAATTAAAGATTAACTGAGGGAAAGACTAAGCCATCATAGTCACCTAATATTGGCAGTACAACTAATAAACCTTCAGGAGATTCAAAATGTCAACGGCTGCCGCTGCTTGGTTTGAATTGGGCTTTCGTATCCCCACCAAAATAAATACTTTAAAAGAATGTGAATGTTTGTTTGCCTTATAATATTATCTACCTAGTAAGGGACTTACACTATATAAGCTGTAAGAAAATAAACTTAAAAATTAGAAGTCTAGTTTAATATATAGTGACAGAACACACATGTAACAATGGCTTCTATCCACATTGTAATGCTTTGACCACATTTGGCCTGATTTGCTTCTGGCAGATCTGAAGTACAGCTTCCATACTTCATAGGTCTGAAATTCAACATGTGCAGCATGTATCAACAATAAATATGGTATTAAACAAATGCTCCCTACTCATCTCTGATCTTGTGAAGAAGAGCTTCTCAATACACAGTGTAAATGACACATCTAAGAACAAAAGCAACTCTTCCAAGAGGCTAGTTAATGAACACGTACAGTGCCCTTCAACTAATT